AAAAAAACGTTTTCTACAAGGTGAATCACACTCATACTATCAATGTGAAGCTTTCTAATCTCCTGCTCTTTGCCTAATTTTGTCATAAAACTTTGTAGTCAAATTATCTCCTTGCTAGCCTCAGTGATAACAATTTATTCAACCTCCGTAGTTGAAATTGCAACGATTTTCTACAATCTAGAAAGCCAACTCAGTGTTGTATGCCTCGATGTAATTATATACTTTGTTGTACTTCTTCTACTATCCACTCTTTTGTCATACCTGAATCTACAAATCCTTTTAGATTGATCCTTTTACTTCCATAGCAAAGTGTTCTGTTAACTGTTTTCTGAAGTGTTTGAGAATTCCACTTTTCCACCTCCCAATGATGCCTGTTTGGATTGCCCATGTACCTGTTGACCACTCCTATTGCATATGTAATATCTGGTCTGGTATAAATCATCACGTACATCAAACTTCCAACTGCTAAAACATACAGAGTTATCTTCATCCGTGCTTGCTTTTCTTTAGAGTTAGGTGATAACTTCTTAGATAGTTTGAAGTGACTATCTGAGGGGGTGCTAACTGGTTATACCTTACCCATGTTGAACCTCTGTATGTTCTTCTCAACATACCCTACCCGAGACAACTTCAGTGTTCCAACACTACTATCCCTGTTGACTCTCATCCTGAGGATTTTTCTGGTTGAGCCTTAATTTTTCATCTCAAACTCATTTGAGAATTGTTTCTTTATGTCCTTGATTTTCTTCATATCTGCTAGGGCTGTAAATAAACCGATGCACTCGATGAAAAACTCGAACTCGTCTCGATTAAGACTCGATCATGTTAGTTCAAATCAGGACATTAACATGCTTAAAAGATTTTTAAAGGATCGAAGCTTAAATAAACTAAACATTAACATAGTTGAACTTGTTCATTTATGTTCATAAACAAATTCATTCGTTGTTCAACAAGTAACTTGTTAAATCTTGATATTAAGCTCGATGATAGTTCATATCTGATATCTCGTATCATATATCATATATTATTTAAATAAAATTTAATTAACTAGAATTTGTTTAATTTTATATTTAATAGTAATATATTGTTATACTAATAATACTTTTAGATTAATTATTAATTATATATTTATTTTATTAAATTTTAGGTGTTGCATATGAAGTTACATAAGACATGTTGGTTAACTTTTTATGTATGAAATGCCCCTTAAAATTAACTTTAAATCTCTGTAAACCTCATATTATCTTTGGCCTCTCGTAGTTTTGCCTCTCCCGGTTTTGGCCGGAACATATGAAACCCTGAGTTGCTAGGACATGCAAGCAATGAAGATAACAATGAGATTGTGACTTGCAAGGATCTTTGAAACTGTAGTGTCTGATATATTCTCTTTTCTACTATGCTCTTAAGTCCTACTTGATTAACCCTTATATTTCTCATTCTTCTTCGAACCCCACTTCAGGCGCTTCAACTTCTTTAAATCCTATAAATTCTCCT